TGCTCAGCCAGACTACGGCATCCCTCCACTTTGGGGCTCTTAGTCTAAAAAACTTGCCCGTTCCAGTGTGCTGGAGATTTCCTCCTGTTGTCTTCTAGCAGGGCCAGAGTTCTAGGTCTGACATTCAGGTCTTCAATCCATTTGGAGTCTGCTTTTGTAAGTGGTGAAAGACAGGGGTCTGGCTTCATCCATCTGTGCAGGAATTTCCAGTTTTCCCAGCACCAGTTATTGGCGAGGCTGCCTCTTCTCCAAAGCACCTTCTTGTCACATTTGTTGAAGATCAGCTGCTGCCCATGTTGGGTTCATTCTAGGCTCTCTCCATTGTCCCCCTGGTCTACATGTCATTTTTATGCCAAGGCCCTGCTGTTTTAATTACTATGACTCTGTAGTAGGTTTGGGGTCAGATGGTGCAAAGCTCCAGAGATGACGATGTGACACTTACTTGTCTTAAAGCCAGACGACAGAATGTTGAATGTTTTAACCACAAAGAAATAATGATAAGCATTTGAGGAGACAGATTTGCCCTGATTTGAACATTGTACAATATACACATGTATGGAAACATCACAAGGCACCCCGTAAATCTATTTTATATATTGGTTAAAATAAAACAAAAAAAAATTTAAAAGTGACCTTAAAGCATCTCTAGTGACCTAACCTCCTCACTTGGGGCAGTGGGCAGAAAAAGCACCCTGACCCCAGCAAGGTCGGGCAGCACAGCCTAGCTCACCATGACGATCAGATTTCCCACTGGCCTGTGCTCACTGAGCAGATTCCCAAACCTCCATTTGCCACATAGATAGAGCCTGCGCTGCCCTTGGTGGAAGGTTGACATGGGGATCATTTCCTCTACCCTCCCAGGCCCAAATGGGACCCAGGACCCAAAGCTGCCCAAGAGTGTCTGCATCTTTTAAATATCTCAAAGGCTATTATGTTCACACCCTGAGCCTCACCACAAGCCCCCAGCTCTGCTCTGAAGGTCGGGAGCTGCTCATATGAAGAGTGGCAGTCCCCACTCAGGGACCTTAGCAGCTCACCAGGAGTCACTGCCCCAGCGGGTTTCATTTGGACTGCAGGGTGCGCTTATTCTGGAGAGAGGTGTCCGAGCACGTGCAGCGCAGCCAGCAAGCTGGGCCCTGAGTCCCAGTCACTGAGACCAAGGCCATCCTTAGTTCTTCAGGAAATGGCAGGGACCAGAGTGTCCACTTCTCTCTGCAGAGCCAAGGTCACCCTGGTCCCTGAGCACATTCTGCAACCCTGATGTGAGGAGAGCGGGTGAAGATAGGGTGGGCTGCAGGCCTTCCCTGGGGGCCGCAATGGCAGGAGAGGAGCAGCCGCCCTCCCCTTGGGCACTGAGTGGCAGCCAGCCCCCCCCCCCCCCCGAGTCCCTGAGCCTCGCACACTTCCCCAGCTGCTCTGGGCCTGGGCAGGGGTCCCTCTTCCTTTCCAGGTGCATTCTACAAACCCACCTCCCTCAGAACTGCTAGGGACTACAGACAGTCTCCAGCCCACTCTGTTCCCACCCCACACTGTTCCTTTCGCAATAGAAGCCTCTTCCTGTGGCATATTCAGTGCCACCTACAAGTCCTGCTTGGCCGCTGGTGACCATAAGCTCCCTGAGAGCCAGGTCCACCGGGGTGCATTTATCACTAGGCCCTAGTGCCAACAGCACCATGCCCACAGGAGACACGGCCCTGTGGCACGACAGCCACAGGCCACCCAGCTCCCCCCCACACACACTCACTGTGCTGAGATGGCCCGACCCCACTCTCCACCACCTTTCAGGAGGTCGCCATGGCCACAGGGCAAGATGGGCAGTCTTCTCAAGAGCCTGTGGCACTGAAAACAGAACCACACCCCAGGTGGCCACCTAATGGACACTGAGCCTGTAACTCTGCAAGCCCAGGTTCACTGCAGCACTGCTCAACTGCCACGATTTGGAGTCCACGCAGGTGTCCACCAAGGGCAGCGCTCTGCCACAGAGACCGCTCAGCCGTGAGGCATGGAGCTGCCGCTCTCCGCAGCGCAACCCACCTGCTGAGTGACCCAAGCCAGGCACCGGGGACAAGCATGGCACTTCCTCCTCCAGAGCCACAGAAGGCAGTCTCAGAGAAGTAGGGGAGAGAGGGGCCGGAGGGGGGAAGGGGCGGCTACGGGCCCCTTGGGTAGCAGGTTACTTCTGCCTCTCTTACGTGGTGGGGTGAGGAGGGTCAATACTGTGTCTCAAAGTCGCTAGAAGAGAGATTCTAATCACAAAGAAATGATAGATGTGCAAGGTGTGGGAGGGTCCTTACCCTGATTTGCTCATTACACAATGTCCGCGTGTCAAAATATCACATTGTATCCATAAATAGTTACAATATATTGTATCAATCAAAAATTTTTAATTAAACACACAAACAAAAAAGCCTGTAGAGAGTAGAGTTCAAGATCAAGATCAAGGCATCCGGAGATAGCTGCATGCAATGCTGCCTCTACTCGCCAGCAACGTGAACGTGGCCAGGTTGACTTCTCGGTGCCTCTGTGTCCTAACCTATGAAATGGGGATGGCCATTACACAGCAGCGCAGGACTGTAAGGAGAGGAGAGTGCCCGGCATGAGTGTTGGTTTAGGTTGTGGCCAGACATAGTGCTCAATGATATTAAATCAAATTAATTGCTCTTAATTCTCTGCTTTTCCTAGGAAGAATCACAGTGGAAGACTAATGTGACAGACGGCTCAGGAACACAGAGGGAGAAGCCAGGCTCAGCTCTGGCCGGCAGGAGGATTTAGCCAAAAGGCACAGAGGGACCATCATAAGCCAGTAGAAATCGTCACTGTTTTTCTATTTGAGATCACGACACAGAATCCCACTTAAAGTTTATTGATACTGAACAGTGAATAAATTCAAAGAAAAACATGGGTCAACAACAATATATGGACAGGCAGCCACCCATGCCTGTGGGTTCTGTCTCAAGTATGTCAACCAGCTGGGGATCTCGAGTATTTTTTGATTTAGTTAATTCACTAAACATGCACAGACTTTTCTCTTGTTGTTCCCTAAGGAACGCAGCACAACCACCACTTACACGGCAGGCAAATGTAGCAGATGCCTAAGGAGCCTGGACGGGATCTGGAGCCCAGATGAGATTTGGAACATAGTCCCAGTCGCAGGTAAGTGACTGCAGAGTCTGCAGAGTTTCCTGTCAGAGGATCCTGGAGCCAATCTCCATAGACACCGAGGGCAGCTGTACTTACACATTCTACAGCATGACCTGAGGGGCAGCACTAACCCTCCATGGTGGGAAACACTGCTGCGTGCCTTGCCCAGGGAGTACCAGGTAGATGACCAGTGGCAAAGCCAGGACCCAGCAGGTTCCCATAAAGAACAGTCCAAGCCGTCCCTAGAGGTGGTTTCAGTCTCCCGGGTATGGGCAAAGATGGCACAGGGCAGAGGCACTGGAGCTAGGAACTGCAGCTCAGGACACTGGTCACCAGTCCCCTGAACCTGCCTGGCCCTGCCCATCACCAAGCACAGGGTAGGCAGCACCACACGCAGGTCCCAGGAAACCCACGTCTCCTGGGTGCCCTGTCACTGAAGATGGGTGTGGGGGGAAGCCAGCACCCCAGGCGATGCTGCAGAACAGCTGCTTGGCGTCCCCTGGTGCATGGGGACACGGCTCTAGCCATGATCCTGGGTTTCTTTCTTGCTTTGGCTTCACCCATCATCATGCCCATTGGTGGGGACGTCGGTAAGTAGGTCCAGCTTGCTTTTGTGTCCTGTTCCCTGTGACTCAGGGACAGAGCTCACCCCCAGGCACAATGGCCCTGTGGCTGTCCCCCAGGCAGCCAACATAGCCGGGCCCTGGCATCGTAGGAAGGCGTGGTCAGAGCACCTCTCTGCCTCCACCTGAACCGGTGCCAGCTCGAGGTCTCCTGGCACACACTAAATGTTCAGAAAACATCTTTAGGTGTTGGCGATGTCCAAACCAAGGCTGAGGAACCAACCTAACCAACAGTGCAGGGCTGCGGATAGGCCGCCGTGTTCAAGGAGGCCTGGGCCAGTGGGTGGACTGGGGCTGGACTGCTGGAGTGGCCCCACCTCAGGCTCCTCACTCCCTCACCTTGGCAGGAGTGGAAGGGGAAGGTGGGGACAGCAAGGAAGACGGAGGGAGCCACCCAGCTCACGGGAGGGTCTCCCTTCCAAAGTCATCTCTCTCTCGTCTGAGCATCTCTTGGGTGCATTTTGAGATGGAAAGGCTTGAACTGTGAGCTAAATGAGCAGGAAGACCAGAGGGATCTGGTTCACTTGGGCTTTTTATAAAACAAATCATGGGGATGAGGAGGGAGGGGGGAGACGGGGGAAGAGGGAGCAGGTCAAATGAGAAAAGTGGCTTCGCCAAGGTTCCTGGCCTGCAGAGGGGAAAGGGGTCAGCCTCCAGAAGTGACCTCTCAGCCCAACCTCGACCCTGGGGCACCTCCACATCTGGGTCCATGACATGAGGGATCCCCGGCCTCCCACTTATAAGTTGTAAATTTAAAGCTGTGATTCCACCAGGGGTTCTGGTGACATCATGACCACAGAACCACACGCTCAGCTCACCAGAAGCCCCGAGATGGAATTACACTCTTTTTTCCTGATCCAGGCAGCTCTGGTCACCACCACTTTTCAGGATATAATAGAAGTGAGCAATAGTTTAACCATTTTGTGCGAGGCCCTTCTCCTTCCTGGCCACCCTCGGCAGTCCCCTGCCCTCCAGGGCTCCCCTTCCCCTCTGCCCTTTCTGGCAGACCCCTCTGCCCCTCTGTCTCCTCTCAGCACTCCAGCTCCTACCTGACAAGGCGGCTTTCCAAGGGAAGCCTGGTCCCTTCCCAGACAGCACAGATAGGGAAGCCCCGTCAGCATATATTACACAAAGCTGCACGCGAGACGTGAATGCCAACGAACAAGCAGGTGTCTTGTTCCTCCAACTTCAGGGCGAGTCGGCAAAATCCCCTAGTGATGGAGAACCATTTACTCCTTCCCAGCAACCAACATTTAATTTTGGCAATTAAATTAATCCCATGTCATTACACTGCATGGTGGGAAATCACCTCCTTCCAACTGTAGGAAAACATCCTGTGGGTTTTCCTCCAATGGGAATGTCCAGGGTCCCACTTGCTGTGCAGAGCCAGACTTCACCTGCTGCAGGGGAAGCCCCACACAGCACGCCCCGTACTAAAGATGCTGCAGAGGCCGTGGCTCTGGGCACCGGCTCAGGGCCAGCTGCCAGGTTCACTCCTGGCTGCATGACCCTCAGCAAGTCTGGTGAACTGTGCACACTCCAGTCTCGTTGTCTACAAACAGGAGGAGGAGTGCCCCGTCTCACAGGCTTTGGTGAGGTGTGCACATAGGACAGTGTGGGCCAGACCCTGGGTGTGATGACTACCGTGAGCTTTCTTCTCCATCAGTTGACATCCGTTGGCTAGAACTCTCGTCAACGACAGGAAATCCGACTCAGACTTGTAACTGAAAAGTCCAGAAGGGCACCGGCCGCAGGTACAGCTTGACTCAGGGGCTCCAGGGGTGTTCTCAGGCTGGTCTCGGCTCTCCTCACTGTGGCACGGTTCCATTCACAGACAAGCGGCCCCCTCATGGTGGCAAGATGGCTGCGATGATGTCAGTCTGCATCCACCCGGGTTTGAGTCCAGTAGGAAGGAACACAGCCCAGGCCTCAGCAGGTCCTGCACAAATTCAAGAATTCAGTCTCGCCACCGCAGGACATGCTGCCTACCATTTCTGTCACTACCGAGCACGCCTTCCTGTGTTTACTGGCATTTATAGTATGGAAGAGTGTTACCTCCACCTGCTTCAAAGGACTTCTTGTTCACTGTGCACGGTGACAGGAGGGTGTGATTTCTTTGAGCAAACTGATTTACCTTAAGCGGTGTCCCTGGTCTGTCAAAATCAGCCACGCCTCCCCTACAGCACAAGGCCTTCCCTCCTGGAGTCTGCCACTCTGCAGTGACCCCAGGTGCCACACCCAACCTCCTGAAACCATGGCTTTGCCCCACCTCTGCCTGCACTCAAGCCCCAGCCTGGTGGCCACCTGGCTCCTGGGGCTGCTGATCTCCCCCTGGAGAAAGCCTGGCTTCTGTCCCTGACATTGCTTCCAGAGTCATATTAGATCAGGTTCCTGATCTATCTACATGAAAATGTGCCCCTCTGCCTCCTGTGCGCGTCTCTCAGCGGTGCTGCGGGGACACCTGTCGAACACCCTCAAATCTGCCCACATCTGGTTCCAGCCTTGCCATCCAACGCACCTGAAGAGCTGGCAGCCCAGAGTTCTCCCACCAACACGCCCAGTGCCCACGGCGTGGCTCTCAAGCTGGCTTTGGCCCACAAAGGCCTTCCCTCTTATGCACTTGACCCAGTGTCACCTGCCCTAGCTCATGTCCTGGTGCCATCCCAGAATGCCACAGCGGGGGTGATTTCTTATGAAGAGGTTTGTTCCTCAGCATCTTGGAGGTCGGGGAGTCGGTGAGTGTGGTGTTGGCCTCTGGCGGGCTTCCATGCCAGGTAATCCTCCACAGGAAGGCAAGGGCAAGCCCGTGTGGGAGGTTGATAATGACACCAGCACCTCTCAATAGCATCACAGTGCAACTAAATTTCCACCTGAGTTTGGAGGGAACACAAAAACCCCAGTGACCCGCAAGCGGTGGTGAGCAGCCAACCTGCGCCCGGGCGCTCTGGCTCATGCCCTCAGCAGTGCTGAGCTAAGGCTGCTAACTTTTCCACCTACGCTTTCCCCACCAGACCGGGGCTCCTGGAAGACACTTGGAGCTCCTAAAACTAGCCCAGCACCAGCACAGAAAGTGAGCCCCACACAGGTCGACTGAACGAGTCCCCTCTGGAATGACGGGCATCCATCTACACCCAAGAACCCCATCTTCCTCCACGCCACTGTGGTGCCTCCTGCAGCATGATATCATCCTCATGGTCAGAGGACGGCTCAGTAAGAAGCAAGGAGCCACACTGGGCTGTCTTCCTCTTCCAGTTCGTGTCATTGAACATGGCCAAATATGGTACAAGAGTACTAGCACAGTGATTGAAGATTTGGAGAGGAAAAAAAATTTTGGCAAATGCTTTTTACAAGCTTCCAACACATAAAGTGCTTCAGGGAAAAGTGGCAAAAGTAAAGTGTGTCAGTCAGCTCAGATTAGGTTTTGCTGCAGTAACAAACAATCTATGTGGCTTTGAACAATAAAGTTTTGTTTCTTGCTCATATCACTTGCCTAGAGTTAGTGGGCAAGGGACGGGTACCCAGACCAACAGAGCAGCCACCATCTCCAAGGTGGTCAGTCAGCAATCCAGATAGGACGAGTTTTGCATTTAAATGACACTTGTCACCTTCACTCCACAGTTCTAAGGGGATCACAAAGTATGATACTACCAAGCGTTTGAAGAGCAGGTAGGGGCCTGGAAGCACTTGGGGAACAGCACTCAGAAGACCCATGGTAGATAAGTTCTGGCCTTGTCGTTGATGGAGGAATAAAAAGAACACCAAAGACAAGCAGGTGGGAATACAGGAGGGGAGAGGGACACAGGGGTGTAATGAGCAGGTCTCGGAGTGCCCCCTTCACAGGACTCTGTCTGCTGAATCTCAAGGACCCATTTGTTCCTTGAAAGTGAAAATTTTTATACTCCATCCCAAACAGGACTGAATTAGAATCTGCATTTTAATAAGACTCTCAGGAAATCTGCAGGCACAGGAAAGTCTAAAAGAAGTTCTGATACGCAGAGCAAATGGGAATATCTTAGGTGGTCTAAGGACTTTTTTACTTCAATGAGTATTGCTTTTATTTATTCTATAGTAAGTGCTGTTTCTTTTTCCCTTATGGAAGTGACATGAGGTGCAATAATTTATTTCCCTGATAGTAAATTTAAAGAAAAATAACAAATAATAGTACAAGGAAGACATACAATGGCACGAATTGTAAGCAATTCTATATGAATGCCTGAAGCTTGGGAATCCCACCCCTGGGAAAGTTCCCATCTTCCAATCCCCCCACACACTCACTCTGGCCTTCACTCCTCCCAGATGCTTGGCTCTCTCCTAACTTCCTGTCAGCCTGCAGAGTCACCAGTCACCAGCCTCCTGCTGTCATCTGGCAGGGGGACAATCGGGTCACACCTGGAGCCTCAGCAGGGATCAGGGGTGGCCTGGTTCCAACTCTTCGGGAAGAAGCAGAGGCAGTAACAACCATTCCTTGCTGAGGGACAAGTCAGCAACGCCAGACCAGAGAGGAGGGGTCCCATGTGGTGGTGATGGAGCTGAGATTCCTGGGGCCTGGTGACATCACAGCCCTTGTGACATCATAGCACAGCACACTCCTTGTGTGCTTGTGCAGGAAGCTCAGCACATACAATTAGGCCCAGCACATGAACTTGACAATGGTAACAGTAAACAGCTGTGGGGCCACTGGACTATACTTTGTATCATTATTTTGGAGTGTGATTCTGCTTTTAAAAGAGAAGAAGCAGCCATCAAACTGTGCCTTGTATCGGGCCAGCAGCAGCCTCAGGCATCTCACGTCTGTGGATCAAGTCCCTTGATGGCACTGGCAATGAGGTCCTGTCAGGTGACCAACCTGTGCCACTAGGTTTGTGTAAATGCACTCCGTGAAACAGCCCGTGGGCACATTTCTCAGAACACACCCCTGTGGTTACTGGACACATGGCTATATTTGGAAATATCAGGCCTAATAAGCCTGAAGAACTCAACCATCCAACTAATTCCCTCACCTTCCCAGGTGCTGCGTGCACACGTGCGGGTCCACGCTGGGAGTTCTCTGCTAAAAGGTCATCAAACTAAAACTGAGCCCCCACTGCCAACAGCGAGGTGGGGAACACTCTTGGCGAGGCTCCACCTGGGGCTCATCCACAGGAGAAGGTAGCTTCCCGAGTCCTCAGACTGGGGCCCTGGGGCTTTTCCCACCCAAAACACAAGTGTGACCTCTGCTCGAGTTTCTTGGCTATGCCACCTTGAGCCAGTCACCCCACCAGCCAGAGCCTGCTTATCTATAAGCAGGGACAAGGACTCCAACCTCGACAGGGAGGACCAAATGACCAAATTACATGATGTGGGGAAAGCACCAAGTTATGGCTCCTGCTGTGGCTCCTGCTGTGGCTCCTGCTGTGGCACCTGCTGTGGCACTTTGTTCTTGAACAGTGATGACCTCACAATGGTTATGAGAGTTTTCAGAGTTACTAGAGATGATATCTTAAGATCTCTTTTTTCTCAGGTCCTATAGGTTACTATGGCATTTTCTCACCGCGCTGCCCTGCCCTTGCCCATCCGCACAGGCCACAGAGGGCACTGCTGTCTAGGCACCCAGCACCCTGGCTTCGGCTCTCGGTCCCCTAGGAAGCCAGTCTCCCTGACCCTGAACTCACCCCACCACGCAGCAGGTGTGACTGGCCTAAGAGACGCTCCGTGATTGGCCCAGGAATGTAGATTTGAGCCAATCAGCACTCAGTGTTGCCCAGCAACCGTCCCTAGGCCTCTGGTGAGTGAGTAGCCCAACCTGGCCCAAGTGGCATGAGGAGTCCACGGTGCGGAGGCTCCTCTGTCACTGGTCACGTGCTGACAAGCCTGTTGGCTGCAGGCTGCCGCAGGTCACAAGGAAGAGAGGCGGCCTGGCATGGAGTCGACACACCTTGCAGGACAAACCCAGAGAGCCCAGAGGTCAGACAGCACCCCCAACACCACACAGGCAAGGCCACGCCTCCTCTGGGCTCCTGTCACGTGAGATGGTGCATCTTCGGACTCCAGTCAGTTTGCACCAGGACCCAGCAGGAGGACGTCTTGGGAGGACTCTCCGTAAGTGTGCATGCGTGAAACAGAACACTGCTCCCTCCAGCGCTGCTCCAAAGCCCACGGAGTGCCCTGCGGGTGGGGCAGAGGGGACAACATAGGAGAGGAAAAGCTCTGAACTATGGATCCTGCTTTCTCCTCTCTGAAGGTCAGCAGTCCACTGGAGACGGGATGATGGAGCCCGGGGCGTCTGTGGGAGGTGGAGTGAGCCACCCCCGCTGCCTTCTGCCAGGCAGCACCTCCGACAGGCGCAGGCGGCAGGGAGCTTCATGCAGAACCTGGACTCTGCTCCCGGCCTGCAGCTGGCTCCTCTGCTCCCTGGCTGGGTACCTTTATTCACTGTCTTCTCTGAACCTCTCCTATGTGCCGAGCACAGTTTTGATGCTCGCTTAGTTTGACTGGTGTGGAATCAGCCTCAGAGAAGTAAATAATAACTCACCCAGAGTCACAGAGCCCGGGTGGTGGAACTGGGGTTTGAGCCCCACCATGAGACGCCAGAGACATCTGGTCAACCCCAACCACCAGGCCATGCCATGCCTCCAAGCTTTGGAGAATCAGGGGCAGCTGGCCACGTCCAGCAGAAAGCAGAGGTCAAGCCCAAGGAAGCTTCAATACCCAAGGCCCTGCAGTCTTTTAACTCATCTCCACATACATGCCCAGTGGGTTTTCAGATTTCCACTTCACAGGTGAAGTTTTGGTAAGGCCCTCTCTGTAGGGACTGGCAGGAAGCTGGGCTTGCTTTCTTGAGGTTGTGCTTCCCCAGTTCTCTGAACACCACAAGCCCTAGACACCTGCATCACCTACGGCTCGGACACAAGAAGAGAGAGCTCTCAGAGCCACCAGGGGAGGCTAGCAAAGCCCGCTCTGCAGCAGAGTCCCCGTACGTCCCATGTACCTGGTCATTTCCATCTGCTACCCCTTCCTCCAGCTCCACGCTGACCACAGTCTGCCAACCCCACACTTCAGAGCAGCAGCCTGAGTCCCACACCTGACAGGGCAGCCCCAGCCAGGTCGTCACCTCCAACGTCACTGCAGAAAATAGGACCACGGGTAGGGCACCTCTAACTGGGCCCACCTGTACCTGGGCCTGTTGGGAGCCGGCGACCGCACCCTGAAAATGGCGCTGGCTTCCTGCTTCTGATGACTCAGCGGTTAGAGTTGTTAGAAGTAAACAGCTCCTTGTAAGGCTGTGGGGCTGGGCTCTGGCCTGCTTCCGCTGCGCTGTACCTATTAGACTCTTCCACGTAGTGCTGGTTCATTGGCAAGGCTGGGTACTTAAGCTAGGACAGACCGACCGCTGGTGTTCGCGCTTTCTTCTCTTGTTCCTGTTTCCTCATCATAATTCAAAGGTCCTGAGTAAACTGCTGAAAGAAGAATCCTGTGTCGTGTTTCCTTTGCCGGCAAGGGGTCGCGACATGGGCCCACCTCTACCAGCTCCCAGTCATGTCTTCATCTGGCAACCGGGATGAGTGAGAGACCAAAGGGGTCACACACGTGACTAGAAAATGCTCTCCCAACACAGTGCACATGTGATTAGTGATTGGCAACTTCAAATTCCTTCTCTTTTTTTCTTTTAATGGTATTGGGGATTGAACCCAGGGCCTTGTGCATGTGGGGCAAGCTCTCTATCCACTGAGCTGTATCCCCAGCCCTCTTCTCATTTTAATGCCAATAAAACTGGCAATAAGAAGGCCACCATGTATGCATGAGACAGCAGATAACAATGACCAAAGTACTGTCTCTCAAGTCCCACAGTCAGCTTCTGACTCCTACCAACTCATGCCATCACCTTGAGGATTAGGTAAGGAAGTGGGGGCTTTGGGGAGGTGACTAGGTCATGAGAAAAGAGCCCTTGGGACTAGGCTGAGATCCCTGATAAAAGAGACTCCACAGAGCTGGCCTGCCCCTTCCAGCAAGTGAGGACACAACTAGAAGGAGCATCTATGGGCCCTCACTTTTCACTGAATCCACCAGCACCTTGATCTTAGACTTCCCAGACTCCAGAACCATGGAAGATAAATGTCTGTTTCTTGCAAGATACCTCGTTTATCAAAGGTGTTTTGTTATAGCAGCCTGCACAGACTGAGACCAGCACGGTGAAGGTGGGATGTTCCTTAGGTTCTGAGGCTCAGCTGGACAACATGGAGGTAGTGATGCCCACGTTAGAACCTCTCTGTGAGAATGGCTTTGGGTTGAAAGTGCTGTTGTGAGTCCATCTGGGCTAAAGTGCTGTTACAAGCATCTTTGCCTGAGCAATCGTCATTCACCGCCATTCTCCTAGAAGCACCATTGACTGAGGAGTCGGTGCCACAGACATTCCGTCTTAGTGAGGAACCCTGGCTCCTCTTGCCAGTGGTGCAACCAAACCCAAGCCTTGCTGTAGCCTCTTTGCAGCAAATCTGCAACAGTGTGACATCAAGACAGGAGAACAGGGCTAGAGGTGTGCTTTGGTCCTGCTGCTGAGAGCCTTAACTGATCTGATTTCCACTGGAAGACAGACTCCTCTGCTTTCCTTCTAGTTCTGTGAGTTCCCCTTTACCCTTCCGCCATCAACACCTTTGCTTGTTGATCAGAAGGCATTTCTGTAATTAACCTCCTAAATAACTGATCCCAGAGCTCAGCGCAGGAGCTCACCTGGTACATAGTACACATGCCAACAAATGGTGGCTCTGATACAGCATATGGAGCGACACATTCCGAGGACGCTGGAGCCTGTTCTTTCTCCCCCCACCTCTCTTCTCACCTCCATAGGATTGGTGCTCTTTTTATTCCCCCTTGACATTTTTTTTCCACTCTCTGTCAAAGTCCTAACTTACCTGCCCTGGATCTCATGAACGCTGCTCACCAAATATTTCCTGACTCCTCCTTCCAACACATGGTAGCTTTGTACTTTCTGGTCCCCCACCTCATGGTTGGATGTGGCCTAGCTCTGGCTCCTGAGTTATGAATAAAAGTGATACGTACCATTCAACTGCTAGAATGCTGACTGACCACACTGAAGATACTGGCTACTCTATCAGCCTAGGTACCAATCCATTGCTCACCTGCAGGGAACATGGGGAATGAGTGGGTAGTAAATCTTTGTGATCAAAAGCTTCCAAGATTTAGGGATTATTTGTTACTGCAGTGAAATCTAGCCTAACCTGACTGATACATATATTCTAATTTCACCCACTTTTCTCTGCAATCACTTTGCATCCTAGAAGTCCACAATAAGTGTCACTTAAGAACATTAAGTTAACTTTCTTAAGAAAATGAGATTTCTGGGCTGGGGATGTGGCTCAAGCGGTAGCATGCTCGCCTGCCATGCATGTGGCCCGGGTTCCATCCTCAGCACCACATACAAACAAAGATGTGTCTGCTGAAAACTAAAAAATAAATATTAAAAAATTCTCTCTCTCTCCTCTGTCTCTCTCTCTCTCTCTAAAAAAAAAAAGAAAAGAAAATGAGATTTCTTATTTTCCTGCCCAAATCTACAACTACTATACTACCATTGTTGTACATTTTTTTGGTCATATTCGATAACACAGAATATAGCAAAAAAGAAAAAAAAGAGACAGCCTAGCCATGTTTCCTGGCTTCTGACTAGCTGTGTCTCAGTCCCTAAGTGAGACCCACATAGTAATTCTTCTAATACCCTACAAAGGCCCACACTTCCCATGCCACCTCTGATTCCCAGACACCTTCTGCTGTAAAATTTCATTTTGAAAGTATTGTGCAAGTCTGACAAAGGTGAGCAAGATTGGATCCGTGCAATGAATGTCTGCCCAAATAAATACTTGGCTGATATGGACGGAGATCT